ATGATATTGAAAACACCATTAGGAAGCAGAACTGCGAAGAAATTGTCTTAAATACTCTGAATAAATTTCATATTTTTAACATATATCTTACTGTAGGTGTCCCAAGACAGTGGAAAACTTCTGTGTTCATAGCAGAAATGGTTATTATAATGGACATACTTTTCACCGTATAATTAAGGTAGGTTATGCAAATTGTATCATTTAAGGCACAATAAGAGGTTTAAACCTAAGGCATAGCATTCTCTCACACTTAGTTTATTAGAAAGGAAGAGGAAAAATAGACTATGGAAGCCAAAAGAATGGTCATGAAAAGAATGGTCATGAATATCAAATCTAGAAAAGGACTGGAATAGTAGCGTAATTACCATTTTAGAAACACTGCAACAATATTTTTTCAACAGCTGAAAACAAGGTCACATAATGAGTAAAGGGGTCATGCTGAGATAAAACCAATAGCCACTGTTCCTAGTGGCTAAATAAGAAGATACGATTTTAAGTAATAGAAGAGCCCAGATGCCACTTAATCTGTTAGAACCACCATGCATACCTGAAGAGCGGAATGAGCTCTGCCCAGGATCTTGTTGGGCAGCATTCCATAAAACATATGTAGTTCTTGTTTACTGACAAGTCAGAAATGATAGGAGGAAAAGTCAAGCTTCAGGGTTCTGGAGGAATTAATGAAATGAAATCCAGAAAATCGAGTGGTTAGGGAAAGGTAGGTGAGAAGAATGAAGCAATTATATAAGATATTATACAGAAACTAAAATTTACACTATTAATTGTAGGTTATTGGGGAAGATATAGATGTCTATAAATGAGAATACCTTTGCATTATGATTTAAATTTGGTAGCAGTTGAGTAGGAGAAATACATCATCCAAATTAAAGTATAACTTACTGAGTTTAATACAATCACTTTATAGAGTGACTGTTAACAAAGTTACAATTTTACTGAATACAAAGCGCGCTTTACAACCCTAACTCCAAAGCATACATATAGAAAAGAACAGTGTAATATGTTTGTTTTTAATAATTCTTAATTTTGAAAGTATTACATATGTTCCCTTTTTTCCCATTAACCCCCTCCAGCCCATTTAATATATTTTTTGTGTACTTTCTGTTAAGGGCTTCATGATTCAGACTGGAGATCCAACAGGTACTGGTATGGGAGGAGAAAGCATATGGGGAGGAGAGTTTGAAGATGAATTTCATTCAACATTACGACATGACAGACCATATACACTCAGCATGGCTAATGCTGGCTCGAATACTAACGGATCTCAGTTTTTCATAACAGTAGTACCAACGGTGAGTAGAACAGCATTATCTGTAAGCCAAAGATTCATAAGTTATGATCTAAGAGTAAATTCAGTGGATGAGAGCCGCATTAGTCTTTATCAAAATGAAAATAATTTAGATAAGAAAATATAAAATTACCCAACAAATCAGAAATACTTTGTAAAACAATACTTCTGTAATTTAGGACACCTAAGTTTTAGTCATCTTCACCACTGTTATTGTTTTGTACAGTTCAAAACAAATTATTTCACCTCTGGACCTGTTTCCTCATCTTTAGAATGGAGGATTAAAGTACATGAATTCCTGATTTTAAGACATTTCCCCCACACATTCTTATATCTCTAAAATCAGAATGCAACCAATAGCATTGTAGATTTGACGGAATACAGTATAAGAATATCTAGCTTTATTGCTATGTAGTTCTACGTGATTATAAAAATTATACACTTTCTTTTTTGGAAATAAGCACTAACATTGAAAGAAAAATATAACTACTATCTGCCAGTCTCATGTAATATTCACAATACGTCTAGTATCACGATACCCAGTTTTAAGTAATAGATGAGGAAACAAATATGACTGACTTGCCAAAGGTCAAGTAGCAGAGCCAGCATTTGAGTGCCCACGTCTTTAATGCCAAGGCACATGCTGTTTAAACTATTCCAAATTGCCTTTTAAACTATGCAAAGGAACTTGCCTTTAGCAAACACATTCCAGCTCCCTTTGATCTGAAAGCTGCACATATTTAAACATTATACTATGCTTTTATATTTTTCTTATAAACATGGAAATTACTCTTAAAATACTCTAAGTGAAATTACTGTAAATCTTTTTAATTACATAAAAAAGTAAAGCATAAATTTAAATTCTCTTTAATTTGCTCGCCCAGAGGGTGTGAATTAAGAAACCTGGTTTACCAAGATTTTCCATTTGTCCTCCAACACAGCCTTGGCTTGATAATAAGCACACAGTATTTGGACGAGTGACTAAAGGAATGGAAGTTGTACAAAGGATCTCCAACGTCAAAGTCAATCCCAAAACAGATAAGCCCTATGAGGATGTCAGCATCATAAATATTACTGTCAAGTAAATCAGATGTATCGTTTAATGTGTAAATAAAAATACACATATAGTAAACAGGATTATTTCACATTGGGAATCTCTTAAGACTTGCTGAACATACAAATCATGTTTCAAGGATTACAGTATTGTATTTTTATATTTTTCATTAAAGGCCATTTTTTAAAGCTTTGCTTTTTTCTTGCAATATTTCTCATTAGGTGAAAAATTGAAATGGATTAAACTCAGGCAAAATAGCACTCCTTATATGTAATTTCTCGTGAGACTCAAAATCATAGTAAATAATGAGTGGTATGCCATTGTTCCTTAGCTTTTCAAACATGCCTGTTAGTCTGCCCTCACATGTTTCTTTAGACTTACGAAGAAAGGATCTGAGCCCTAGCCAGTTTGGCTCAGTGGATAGAGCGTCGGCCTGTGGACCCAAGAGTCCTGGGTTCGATTCTGGTCAAGGGCACATACCTTGGTTGTAGGCTCCTCCCCGGCCCGGGCCCTGGTCAGGGCTCGTGCAGGAGACAACCACTCGATGTTTCTGTCTTTCCCTCTCTCTTCAACTCTCTCTAAAAATCAATGGAATAACGTCCTCGGGTGAGGATTTTAAAAAAAAAAGAAAGGATCTGATAGTATATACTGTTTCTTTTACAAGGTTTGTGTTCCATGCCAAATAGCTTTGTCTTTTGATCATTAAGTCGTAAGTAGTGGTAAGTAAAACTTCAGTAAATAAGTAGGAAGTCCCTTTGGTCATATTAAGTTCCTTAATAATTATCAAATATTTTTTCAAATATAATAAGAATAAATGAATATATGAGTCCTTGGTTTTATAGACAGATTGATTTACCAGTTCATTCTTTTTCTAATGCAGCTAAATAATTTTTGTCCTCATTTATAGTATTTCTTTTCTTACCTTACTAAATATACTATCAAAAAAATATACATTGAGTAAAAATTTTAGTATATAATGAGAGATTAATAGAAATTGTAGTAAAACAATGAGTCCAAAGTCTTATAGTGATTTCCCTTCTTGTTTACTTACCCTGATAACTTCATAACTATTAAGAACTATTGCTTCTAATTTCTGGACAGACTCTTCAAGAACTTATAGGAAGAACCTGTGCAATAGATCTGTTTAGGGATTTCATTCATATACTTTAAATCTTAGCTTACACTTTCCTTCTGTTCATCAGCAGGATATTTCCTTTATTCACTTTATACCACAAACTTTTCTTTTTTTTAAAAAATGTTTTTATTGATTTGAGAGAGGAAGAGAGGGATAGAGACATCAATGATGAGAATCATTGGCTGTCTGCCTCCTGCACACCTCCAATTAGGGATCAAGCCTGCAACCCAGGCACGACTGGGAATCAAGTAGGTGACCTCTCAGTTCATGGGAGGATGCTCAACCACTGAGCAACACCAGCCTGGCTGTACCACAAACTTTTATGTGATGGAAGCACATGCAAGTTTTGCTACTTTAAAATTGTATCCTCCTTCTAAGATGTAGAACTTGAAGTTGGACCTAAATGTCTTTTCACTGTGACATTTACCATTTCTTCCTCATTTTAGGTGTTGAGACTTCTCTACGTAGCAGATATATTCATTCCTAAAAGCTCAAACCTAAATTTTTGATAATACTGCCACCAGGTGGTAGTGATGCCTCATTTCCCTCAAAATATCATTGTTTTGTCTAAGTGAAAATAATATTTAATGAATTTTTCCATTGTGTTACAAACTTAACATAATCAGTAGACCTAAACAAATTGCCAGATGTTTTTTAAAAGCATGTTTTAAATTATTAGCAAGAAACCATCTGACATTTATTAGTCCTTTTCACTCATTCATTTAGGAGAAAAGTATAGCTAAGCTATCTTCTTCCCTATTCCTATTTTGCAAACTGAGAAGTATCTCAATGTTACATAAAACGTCTTTTAGCAATATTAGTTCATAGGCTACAGCTAAGTTTTCCAAGCCATTTTCTAAAAATGGTTATTTAAAATGCTATGCTCTCTTACAATATTTAGGTCTTACAGAAGCCTACACCTGAAACCTATATGATCTTGTTGACCAATGTCACTCCAATAAATTTAATTACACACACACACACACACACACAAAATAAAATGCTATGTTCTCAAATGAAATAAGGTTAAGTTTAAAATTTAAAAAGCAATAGACTGTTCAATGCAAAATTTTAGTCAAAACACTAGTTATAATACTCATTAAAATGTGACATTGCAAATACAGACTATGTTATTTCTAAATCTTTAATATACTACATCTCAAATCTGACATGTGAATCCCTACCCTGTTTTATTGTTTATCTTCACAACACAAACATGAATTTTTTTCATTAAATTTTATTGGGTGACATTAGTCCACATGTGTGGATTACTAATGTACAAAATCTGTATATAGCTATGGCCATGTGCCCACCACCCAAAGTCACATCTTCTCCTGTCACCTATTAGGACCCCTTTCTTCCCCCACCCCCTCTCTCTGGCAACCACCACACTGCTGTTTGTGTACATAAGTTTCAGTTTTATATTAAACATGACTTTTAAAAATAGTTACTACCCCTACTATTAGATGGTTCAAGAAATACAATTTTAAGAATAACGATAGGACTTCTTTAAAAGGATTGTAACAGTTTATTGCTGTCTATACTGATCATATGTGTAATGAAAAAATGGCTTCTGGTGATATAAAGCATTCCAGAATTACACACCAGGGCTATACACTTGAAAAACCTGCTTTACGTAAATCATACAGTAATATGTAGGCTTAATACAGAAACTCAGGGCTAGGAATCAAATTCTAATAGATTGTATTTAACATGTTTCTCTTATTCTTAAATTTGACATTTCCCAGAGGGAACTAGCACAATCTTAACTAATCATTAGTGAAAGAATACTACCACAAATAGTAATAATGGCCTAAGAAAAATATTTCTTAAAAAAAACACATTACTATTATGTACATTATAACCAGGTCTAAGCACAGTTTTAAAAATTGTGTTTAGTAATATGTTAAGAATGTGAATTACAAAGTTTAACAAAATCGGTAAAATAAAAAATAATTTACAAGGAAAGCAAGTTTACATATTAGTGTTAGACATTTTTCTTTCTATTACCTAGTAGATAAAACAGTTCAAGGGCTCACAGGCAAATGTAACATCTTTATTTTTCACAGTTATTGCAATCAGTCCAATATTAAATAATTTAATTCTTAAGTATTATTTATATGCACAAACTACACTTGTAACAGCATGACCTTTTACTTGAAAAATAAAGGACAATATAATTATATTATTTACACAATGCCCATAACACTAATGGACAGTTTTTTAATGCTTTGTTTTCTAAAAGTTTTGTTGTTTTTAAACAAAAATAAATTTGAAGAGAATGAACCAAAACAGTACCACCAAGTCACATTTTGTCATCAGACATTAATGTCCTCATAGTAGTTCAACTAAGATTATGATTGAACTTCATCCTAAAATATAAAAAGTATTTTTTAAAAACCATGAAATCCGCCTGGCTGGAGTGGCTCAGTTGGTTGAGCGTCATCCCTTGCACCAAAAGGTTGCCAGTTAGATTCCTGGTCAGGGCACAGACCTGGGTTGCAGTTTTGATCCCCAGTTAGGGAGCATATAGAAGGTAATTTGATCAGTGTTTCTGTTCTCACATTGATGTTTTTCTTTCTCCTCTCTAAGCATGTCCTTGGGTGAAGATTAAAAGAAAAAACAAAACACAAGAAATCCAATCTAGCTATGTTCAAATATAATAAATTGTACTGCCATAATAAGAGAACATCCTTAAAATATGAAAACCAGTAAAGAGCACAGGATTTTTTAAACTTTTACTCACAATACTGCATAATAAATGTGATAACTTTTTCAATGTTTCTTCTGTTCTTTTCTTATATGTGCTTTTTCTCTTAGCTTTTCAAGGCCTTGTCACAAAGAGCCTTAATCACATTTTATTGTCAAGATAAATGCACTTATTTTGGTAAAACATTTCAAATGACGTAAATGCTAAGCATTCCCCACTGTTTAAATGACTTCTCATAAGGTAAAGGTAATTTTCTACTTAGATGTCTCTCTTTTATGTAAAGGCAACCCTGGTTCTTTGTGTAACTTACTACCTTTTATGTATAGTCATTCTCACTAAAGATGCAATATATTTTTTAAAAGAAATACTAAGTACTTTAAATATGCTGAAAAAGTAGAAGGGCCAGTTTAGAACTATAACCTAGGAAATAATACATCCAGGTTCAGCCCTGAAAACTGGTCTTTCATAAGTGAAGGTCAACTAGAACATAACTGACTTTCACAGTTTTTTTATTATTAATTATTCTTCAGGTTAGTACTAATGTTACAAATCAGGCCTAGTTAGGCAACATTTCATTTTGACTCACTGGGTTTTATACAAAATGCTTTAGGAGAAAGTTTTAATAAAACACTGTATAAAATATTAATTTTCTATAGCTTATAGTCTTAGCTTTAAAGGTTTTCTATTACTAAAGGTAAAAGTAATCCTATAACCCAAAGATGCAATTTGTGGATCTTATTTCATTAAGTCATTGCCATTCTTACTACTAAATACTGCCAGAATTCAGGAAAGACAAGTAAAGAAGCCATGCCTCACTTGCTGCAGAGGTCTTTAGGCACTCGGTTGGCTATAAGAATACATCTTCACTTACCCTTTCTCTGTAACTATTTCTCAATATATGGGTCACATATAATCTGAAAAACTCAAATAACAAATGTGCATTTTAAAAAATGTAAAATCAAGAAATCCCTATTTAATCCAATTTAATCTCAATCAGATATTTAAATTTTGCTATAGAATAATTTTGGTAAAGCAATATTGTACTGAATTCCCAATCCAAAATTCCTTTCATATACATATCCTAAATTAACTACCTTTGAGATGTAGAATTTCTTACAACATATTATGTGCAAAATAACTCTTAACCACAAAACTTGAAACAACTGCTGCATTTAAAATCAAGCAACATCCAATACTCCAGCAGCCACAAGCTGCCGTGAGAGCCAGTCCAACCCTTCGTATAGTCCCATCCCACTTCGAGCATCACAGCCCTGGATATACCAGCTACGGCCACAGCACAGTTTATGAAGACTGAGAAGTTCAGTGATTTCTTCTACTGAAAGGGCTCCAGCAACATCCTGAAAGATATATACACATCAGAATTTCTTAAAAATCAGTTAATATTGACCATCAATATCGTCATCATTTTTTAAATTATTACCATTTATAAAGAATTCTATTGGTACCATTCTAACCAAAGTCTAATATAAAAACCTAGATTCACCTTTCAGTAATTATTCTGAGATTAATAAAACTAGGAAAAAAAGAGTTTTGGTTAAAATCATTTACTTACTTGTATTATATATTGTTTATATAGCAGCTTTACAATGAAATCAATAAAAGCCATGCAGCCTGAATGAAAGATACTGTCTGAGTCACTATAAGGCATCAATTTAAAAGAAAAATTAATGTGTATATATTTTTAAAATAGTTTATACATAGGGTTTACAAAATGGTTTATTAAACTATTCAGAATACTCGAACATCCCTACTTCCCAGAAGAGTCCACCAGTAATATTCTCATTATTTTTCCAGAAAATTTCCATGCACATTTGTACAAATAAACACAAATAGAAACATACTCTAATTTTGTTTGTTATTTACTTAACACGCATGTTGAATATAGATAGCTTTCCATTATCAGGATAAACAGATTTTCCACATTAATTTTAACATGTGAATTGCATTCCACTGTGCAGGTGCAACATCATTTTCTTTACCAGTCCTATACCAAATGTTCCAATCCTATAATGAAGTTGTGTGCTTATGTGCTATTACAAATACATACATATTTTTTACATACAGTTGCAAAAGTATCTGTGGAATAATCTTAGGATAGCTGTCTGCAGGATATATTACTAGAGGTATAATTACAGAGTAAGAGGGTATATGCATTTCCCCCTAAGAAAAGGTCTCAGTTTAATAACCACAGCATAGTGTATGTAAGTCTGATGATTCTCAAAGATTTTTGTCTTTCACAATGTGATAATTGGAGAATGGTATTTTACTTTGTCTTATTTGTATGTCTTTAATCATAAGTACAGCAAAGCGTATCAGCTTATTTTTGGCCATTTTTTAATTGGGGGGAAAATCCTATATTCCTCATCGTACTCCTCCTCATGACATCTAAGCCGCTCTGTGGCACTTAAAACCATTTTGATCCTCCTAGAAACTTAAGGTCAAGATCTAGACATCTGCTATTCCCTGTCCTCCATCCTCCCCTTTCAATCACCAAATTCTAACAATCCTACCATCATAAAATATCTTCAATCTGCTTCCACCTATCTATTCCTCTAAATAGGGATCTTGTTAAATCTCTCACTTGAATTACTGCAGCAATTTACTGCATCTTCCTGTCTCTAGTCCCTTACCCTTGATTAATTCTACATCCTACCACCAGGATTATAGTCTGAAAACAATGATGTGATCTTACAACCAACTAATCCAAAAACCTTTTGATGGCTGTCCTTTCCTCACAGAATAAAACCTACATATCTCAGCATGGTCCTGTCAGGCCTTCCTTCACAATGTGGCCTCATCTGTTATTCTAGATTTTCTTCATCCTCTACCTGCTCCTCACATACAAGTCCACTGGATGCTCCCTAAAAATACGAATGCTCTTATTTTCTCTGCCTACCATATTCTTGCCTTCACATACTGATTCAAAGACTTATCCATAATTTCAACTTATAATTTCAACCAAAATCCTACTTTTTTACGAATCTTAAAAGATGTCACCTTCAGAACTACTCTCTAATTTGCCATAACATTTTGTTAACATCATTGAAGTTACTTACCAGTTTTCTTTGTATTAGAATGTCATATATATTCACTTACGTGTTTACTTACATACATTGGAGTTTCAGAGAACATCAACTGACTTACTTCTTTTTGAATACTCCAAGGAATGAAGCACAAAATTTGTACTTTCCACATAGATTGCATTCAGAATATTTAGCAGAAACTTCATAAATATCTACTAATTATTTCTCTTTTGAAATATTTCTAGCTACTTTATGATGTGAAATACACAAAACTACTAAAATAAGTATTCTGAAATACAAATGTGTTACCTGTTTGTTAGCAAAAATCAGAAGCAAAGCATCTCGGAGTTCTTTTTCTGTTAACAACTTCGCAAGCTCACTGTGTGCTTCATTAACTCTGTCTCTATGACTGCTATCAACAACAAATACAACAGCTACCAACAAAATGACAAAAATTTCAGTTAGTCACCTGCTAAGTTTCAGTAAATGGACAAAATATTTAATGCTCTCATTATATTATGGGTAGTCTACCATTATTTTTATGGAAAGGCTGCTTATTATAGGAGCAATAATTAATGGTATGATCTCAAATAGGTCACATAACTTTTCAGCTTTCATTTCCCCATCCATAAGAAGATTTACACTTGCTCTACCAATTAATATTTCCTCTTAATGAATGAAAATGTACCCCTCATGATCTACCTATTGATGCTACTTATTTGTTGATTACTACTTCTTTTACAAAAAGAGAATCCTTTAAAAATAAATCACCATCTTTATCTCTCCAAAGTACTCTTTCTAGACACCTAGCACAGCACTTTCCAGCAGAAACTTGATAAATATCTATTGAATGAATACTTTTTAGAAATCTTTCCAGCTAATTTATGGTAACTAAACATATTCAGACATTTAACCATTCCTCATGATCAAAATTCCTTTTTTCTCCATTAATCATTGGCTCATATTAAATATCAAAAATCCCAAAGTAAACGTAATTATCTAATCTCTCTTCTAGGTGGAAAGTAGGATGACGTATGGAACAGGTGGCATAAACATAAGCTTTATATTGGGATATAGGAGGCAAAAGTTAGAATGGGGCCCAACTGTGAATAAGTGCTGGATGGAATATATGTGACGTATCAGAGTTTGGTCTAAAGCAAACCACTATAGGTTCTTCTGCAGATAACAACTGTGAATGAAAATGGAGCTTTTAAGATATTATAATGGGATAAATGTTTAATTAAATTGAACCGCATAACCATACACCACAAATTCTACTATACTCCACAATACTACCAGTGATCATATTCATGACACTAATAATTTAACTGTTAAGAACAGTACTCATAACAGCGCACATATACAAGCTAAGTATTGTTTTTATGCTATAATTATGTTTTTTTCATGAACTATACCAAAGTACATATTCCAGTCTTTCCACCTTCATTTTTTTTAATAATGTGGGGCTGGCCACCAATATTTAAAGGTATAATCAATATTTAATAAATGCTTAAATATCAGCTTTACTATTTAAATCAATATACTGAAAACTGGCATCCTAAAAATCTGAAAAATTACGATGTCATTTTTTTCTCTTACCTTGGGTATTCAGGTAATAATGTTTCCACAATGGTCTTAATTTGTGTTTTCCACCTACATCCCAAATAGTGAACTTTAGATTTTTATATTCTACAGTTTCCACATTAAAACCTGAATTAGAAAAAAAGTTACTTTAATACTGAACTTATATTTACAGTGACACACCACACACAAGGCAACTCCCTGTTTATAACTGTGACTTACAATTATCTTCACACAGCAATATCTATTGCTGCCCAACCAACTCCACTCCTAACCAACCTATGTGGGGAATGAATACCTTTATCAGTTATTAGACCCCTAAAGCTGGGTGCTTAGGACCTTAAAACACAAGTACCTGCCAACTCCGCACCAATACCACCCCCTCACCCTTAACCCTCAACAAGGTCACCAATCATTTATTCCTTCCACCTGTCCCACCAAAATTCTGTTCCTTCTTATTATCCCACCATCCACGTTTCAATCCAATCCTACAGCCACTGAATCTCGCATTTTTCCTCTGAAATGCTGGTGTCTTACAGCCAGAAAAAAAAAAAAGCCCAGTTCCATGACAGATTGGCATATTATAAGATCCCAAAAACTCAGCTGTAAGCTAGGGTTTGTTAAGGTAAAAAGCAATACTCATACTTACCAATTGTTGGAATAGGTTGCATAAACTCATCCTGTTTTAACTTAAACAAAATAGTAGTTTTTCCAGCACCATCTAATCCTAATGTAACAACTCGAATTTCCATTTTTGGTCCGATGTGAACTCTATTGTCCTATAATTTTAAAAATATTTTCATCTTTTAATTTTGACATAGTGTTAGAAAGCATTAATATTTATACTTTTATTTATAAAATGTCACTGTTGATTACTGTCCTTTCTCCTATTCATTCCTCAATCACTGAAATCTGATCTGAAAGAGAAGAGTCACTCCTTAATGCCACATCCTTTACTGAAACTGACTACTTTGTTTTTGTGTAAATTAAAAATGTATGCATCCACCTAATTTCTCCAGATTTTTTTAGCTCAACTGAATCTTCTAAGGGTTTTTATGCTGTGTTAAATATGTTAATAAATATATTAATTAAAAATGAGAATTGCTGCTCACTTCCCAGAAATACAGTTAACAATTTCATATATATCCCACCAGACACTTTCCTATGAACATACTGGTTGATATACACAAACAAAACAAATATACTTTTGTTTGTTTGTTTATCCTCACCTGAAAATATATGTTCCATTGATTTTTCAGAGAGAGTGGAAGAGAAGGAGGAGGGGAGGTAAAGTGAGAGAAAGAGAGAACATCGATGTGAAAGAAACACATCGACTGATTGCCTCCCACACGTGCCCTGACCCAGGTACGTGCCCTTGACCAGAAATCTACCCTGCAACCCTTCGGTGCGAGGGCCGATGCTCTTACCACTTAGAAACACTGGCCAAGACAAAACAAATATATATTTTTTTAAATATTTTTTTTTCTTCATTTCAGAGAGGAAGAGAGAGGGAGAGAGAGATAGAAACATCAATGATGAGAGAACCATTGATCGCTGCCCCCTGCATGACCCCCACTGGGGATCAAGCCCACAACCCCGTCATGTGTCCTGACTGGCAACTGAACTGTGACCTCCTGGTTCATAGGTCTGTGCTCAACCACTGCACCACACCAGCCAAGCCAAGAATACATTTTAAAAAGATAAATTTAAAAAAACACACATACACTCAACTAATTTTTATACTCAACAGTGTATTATGGAATAATTTCATTTCAAAACATAAAGACCTGCCCTTTTCTTTCAATTACTTTGTTATATTCCATGAGCCAAGATTTAACCAATCCCCAACTGACAGATGTTAGATCTCTGAATTTATCATAACGAACAACATTCTTGTAATGAGTGTACATATTACTAGCTGCATGATCTCTCTGCCTCACTTCCCTCATCTATAAATTCAGGATTAAAATAGTACCAAACTCACACAATTTTTACAAGGATTATTTTTTAAAACACGTATAAAGTCCTTACAACAGCTCCTAAATAATTGTCGGTAACTATTATTTTGCCTCCTCGTTTTAGCACTCTTCTTTTATGAGACAACATTGTCCTGGTTTTTATCCCACCTTTTTGGATGCTCCCTCCCATTTTCCTTTTGTCTACCTTTGTAATATTGGTGTACTTGAGAGTCTATATGAGGTGTGTTTCTTATCTACATAGTCTCATTTACTCCATGTGCTTCAGTTACCATCTTTATGATGATGGCTCCTAAATATACACTTCCGTACAGTCCTACACTTCAGAAATAAAACAATATATGAACCAGATTATCTTTGTGAGAATTCTAGAAACCATTTGTGAAATTAAACACCCAGGGCAACAAAAAACGAAAAAGGGATTCCAACAAAAGAGGTAAAAAAATTGACAGAATTCTGCACACCCATCTATGCCCCTGCCTAACCTGGTATGGCACAATGCAACTAAAAGGAAAATGCCTATACCAGGACAGAAACATAAGGTTTTACTGAGCATCCAGTGTTCTGGCTCATCTGGGGTCTGCCTTAGATAGAGACCGGGTACTGTCTCACCCAACTTGAACCTCTTAGGGACAACCAACGGCACGATTTGAAAGCCACTAGAAACAGAGGCAAGGACATGGCACATTAGAACTCCTGCTGTGCAGGGAGAATAAGAGATTATTGGCTTCTGAAAAAATGCAGAGGCAAACTGCTTCAGGAATTCAAGGCAGCTAAAGCACACACACAAACCCAGAGACGATAAACCCCAGAAAAGGTTTGAGAATTCTAGAATCTCTAGCTGGGCGAAGGTCTTCCCAGGCTCAAAGCCAATTCATAAAGATTGGGAGAGGTAGTTGTTTGTTCAAATGCCCAAATCTCAACAAAAATAGGACAAGGCATAAAAGAAACAGGAAAACATAACCCAATCAAAGGAATAAATAAAATTCCAAAAATTGACCCTGAAAATTCAGATCTATGAGTTGCCAAAGAACTTAAAAAACCTGTAATAGAGATACTTAAGAAGTTAAAAGAAACACAGACAATAAATAAAATCAGGAAAACAAAGAACAGGCAAATTAGAATATCAACAGAGATAGAAATTTTTTAAAAGAACTAAAATTCTGGAGATGAAAATATAATAACTGCACTGAAAAAGTTCACTAGAGGGTTTCAAAAGTATACTTCATCAGGCAAAAGAGAGAATCACCAAACTTGAAGATATGTCATTTGAAATCAAGTTAAAGGAGAAAAAAAAAAATGAGTGAAGAAAGCCTAAGGGATTTATGGGACACTAGCAAGGAGATCAACACTTATTTTGTGAGAGTCCCAGAAAGAGAAGAGAGAAAGAAAGGGGCAGAGAGAGCTTACCTGAAGAAATAATGGTTGAATACTTCCCAATCTGAGGAGAGAAATGGACATAAAAATTCTAACTCAATGCATCCCAACTAGGATAAACCCAAAGAGACCCCACACTGAGACACATTATAATCAAACTGTCAAAAATCATAGACAAAGAGAGAATCTTAAAAGCAGCAAGAGAAAAAAGACTCATCACATACAAGGGAGCTTCCATAAGATTACCAGCTGATTTCTCAGCAGAAAGTTTGGGATCCAGAAAGGAGTGGGAGAATATATTCAAAGTGCTGAAAGAAATAAAACTGTCAGGACAGACTGACAGTTGTCAGAGGGGAGGGAATTGGGTAGCTGGGTGAAGAAGGTGAAGGGATTAAGCAGTACAAATTGGTATTTATGGACTAATCACATAGATATATAGATTCTAGCATAGGGAATATAGTCAATAATATCTTGGTAAATATATATGGGGCCAGGTGGGTACCTGAAGCATTGGGGGATTACTCTGTAAAGTACATAAGTGTCTAACCATTGTACTGTACATCTGAAACTAACACAGAATAATACTGAATATAAACTGTAATTTAAAAATAATTTTAAAAAAAGAAAAAAGCTGTCAACAATGAATGCTATATATGCCAAAACTGTCCTTCAAAAAGGAAGGAAAAAATAACTTTCCCAGAAAAGCAAAAGCTGAGGGAGTCATTACCACTAGATGTGAACAAATAGTAATCTGTACTGTTGTAATTTTGGTGCATAAATTTAATTTTTATAGACTTGAAATAACAAAAACATTTTATACGCCTGAAACCAATAGAAAATAGTGAATGTAAACTGTAATTGAAAATTTTTTAACTGTAAGCCTCTGTTAATAGGTATACAGTATATAAAAATGTATTTTGTAACATCATTAACAAAGTGTGGGGGATGAAATAGGTATGCAATTGAAGTTAAAGTGTTAACGTTTAAAATAGAGTGTTAGAACTAGTATGTTTTATGTAATTACAATGGTAAACACACAAAGAAAACCTCCATAAAATATAAACAAAAAGAAATGAGAAGGAAATCAAACCATGTCACTACAAAACAATACAGTAAGAGAGGAGAGACAAAAAAAGCTATATGATATATAGAAAACAATGAACAAAATGGCCATAGTAAGTCCTTACTTATGAATAATTATTTTAAATATTAATGGATTTAGCTCCCCAATCAAAAGACATAGTTTGACTATATGGATAAAAAAACAAGATTAAAAAAAAGACAAAAAAACAAGATCCAACAATAGGCTGTCTACAAGTGACTCACTTTACATCTAAGGACATATATAGGTTCAAAGTGAAAGGATGGAAAAAAATATTCCATGCAAATCATACCCAAAAGAGGAAGGATGGCTATCCTATCAGACAATGGACTTTAAGTCAGAAACCATTATAAGAGATACAGAAGGTCCTTATATAATACTAGAGGCTCGGTGGACAAAATTAGTACATGGGTGAGGTCCCTAGGCCTAGCTGGCAATCGAAGCACGAGCATCTGGCATGGAAGGGCAGGTCCCAGCTGACCTCTGGGCCCTGGGCAGCACCTGGACCCCCAGGCTCCTGCGTGCCCCCCTCCACCTGAGTCACAGCACCTGCACCTGAGCCCCCACATGGAGATGTAGTGAGCCTGGCCAGACGCTGCAGGCCAGGGCACAGCGTGGGCCTCTGGGCCACCCAGCAGCACCACACAGAAGCCAGGTGGGCAGCATGCTCTCTCCTGGCTAGCCTCGTAGAATGGCTCCTGCATGAATCCATGGGGAGCCCATCCAGCCCCTGAGGTCCTAGTGGCTGAGGCCTGGCTCACCCGGAAGAGGCCGTGTGGGGGCTTCCCCGGTGCGTGAGCCCTGGCATCCCGGGGGAAGGTAGCAGGCGGAGTGAGAACAAGCTCAGCGGACACCCAGCATTCTCACTGCACCTCCGTCCCCATCACCCCCACCCACAGGTAGCTGGCAAAAGGTCGTAGCCCCCCGCCTGGGTGCCACAGGAGGTTGGTCGGGGCCTCCTGATGGTCAGCGCATGTCATAGCAAGCAGTCGAACTCCCAGTCGAACGACTGCCCGAGGAGACAATTTGCATATTAGGCTTCTATTAATTATCTACACTAATAAAAGACAAATATGCTAATTGACCGTACCTTCACTATACACACCAGTCAATCAGAAGAGTATGCAAATTAACCCAACAAAGATGGCCGTTAAATTTGCATACTGCAGGTGGGGAGGGGCAGCGCCATCCGCCGCCCACCCCAACCCCAGGATCTGGCCTGCCATGTGCTCGACCCGGGGCGGCGGGGCAGGCACCGCGGGATCGAGCCTGCTATCTGCCACCCGGGGAGCGGGCCTAAGCCAGCAGGTGGTTATCTCCCGAGGGGTCCCAGACTGTGAGAGGACACAAGTCGGGCTGAGGGACACCTCCCCCCCACCAGTGCACAAGTTTTTGTGCACCGGGCCTCTAGTATAGGATAAAAGGGTAAATTTACAAAGAAGACATACAATTATAAATAGTTGGATTATAAATATATAAATTAAAGACAAAACATGAGATCTAAAACTATAAAACTCCTAGAAGAAAACATGGGATAAAAGCTTCATGACATTGGATTTCAGAATGATTTCCTCAATATGACACCAAAGTATGGTCAGCAAAAGCAAAACAGACAAATGGGACTGTATCAATCTTAAAAACTTTTATGAATCAAAGAACACAGTTAACAGAATGAAGCAACAACCTAGGTATTGGGAGAAAATATTTGCAAATCATATACCTGATAATGGATTCATATCCAGAATATATAAAGAACTCCTACAACTCAACAACAAAATATCAAATTACTCAATTAAAAAACAGGTAAAGGACTTACACAAAATTTCTCCAAAGAAGATATAAGATGGCCAGAAAATATGAGAAGATGCTCAACATTACTAATCACCAGAGAAATGCAAATTAAAACCACAATGCGATATCACTTCATGCCGATTAGGACAGCTACTATTAAAAAAATAAAAAATACCAACCCCCCTAGACCAAACACCAAAAAGTAACAAGTGTTGGTAAAAATGTAGAGAAATTCTGCTGGTGGGATTATAATATGGTGCAAACACTATGGAAAACAGTACAGCACTTTCTCAGTAATCTCGTGGCTGGATATATATCCAAAAAAACTGAAAGCGAGGTCTCTAAGAAATAGTTGCACACCTATGTTCACAGCAGTACTATTCACAATAGCTAAGAGGTGGAAGTAACAATAATGTCTTTCAATGGATAAACAAAAGGTGGTATAAGCAAACAATTCTGTCACATTTTACAACACAGATTAACTGTGAGGGCATGGTGCTATATGAAATAAGCCAGTCACAAAAAGATAAATAATGTATGATTCCATTTACATGAAGTATTTAGAGTAGTCAAATTCAAAGAAACAGAAAGTTATCAAGAGCTGGTAAGGTAGGAGAAAAGGGAAGTTATTGTTTATAAGGCACAGTTTCAGTTTTGGAAGATGGAAAAATTTCTGGAGATTTGATCCACACAATGTGAATATACTTAACAATGCTAAATTGTACATTTAAAAATGGTTAAGATGGTAAATTTTTATTTTTATTTTTTACCACAATAAAAAAAAAAAAGTGGTACATCCTCACAATAAAGTATCTTGCAGCTATTAAAAGAAACAAAAAATGTCACTGTATACTGCCATGGAGTGTTCTCCAGGACCTAACACTTAAGTGAAAAGGGCAAGGTGGAGAAATGTATAAGGTATTCTACCTTTAAATGCAGGGAGTGTGCAGGTAAGTATATAAAAATTTCCTCTATTTTTAAATGATGAATAAAACTCAGAAAAAATTCTTAATAGTTTTATATGGGGAATGGTGGAGAGGGTAGGGGGGTCAGGGATAGAAGCTAGGCTGCTCTATGTGAACCTTGCTTTATAGTTTACAGATTGGACTCTGAACATTTGTGTGAAAAATTGAACTACCATACAATCCAGTAATCTCATGACTGGAGATATATACATATAATGTTTTACACAATTATAAAATAATATTAAAAAAATTTTTTAAATATATTTTATTGATATTTTACAGAGAGGAAGGGAGAGGGATAGAGAGTTAGAAACATCGATGAGAGAGAAACATAGATCAGCTGCCTCCTGCACACCCCCTACTGGGGATGTGCCCGCAACCAAGGTACATGCCCTTGACCAGAATCGAACCTGGGACCTTTCAGTCCGCAGGCCAATGCTCTATCCACTGAGCCAAACCGGGTAGGGCATATTAAATTTTTTTAAAAGTCCCCAAAACAGCCCTATCTGGTTTGGCTCAGTGGATAGAGCATCAGCCTGTGGACTGAAGGGTCCCGGGTTCGATTCCGGTCAAGGGCACATGCCCGGGTTGTGGGGTCAATCCCCAGTAGGGAGCATGCAGGACGCAGCCGATCAATGATAATCTCTCATCACTGATGTTTCTCTCTCTCTCTTCCTCTCCCTTCCTCTCTGAAATCAATAAAAATGTATTTAAAAAAGTCCCTTAAAACAGAAAGCAAAATGGAACACATGCACGTTTTTAAATTAGGGGAATCCACTTTAAAAGAGACTAAAATATATCAAACAAGTACAGGATTCTGCCTAAAAAAAAAAAAAAATGCAACTTAAAAATTTTTTAACAGTCTGGGAGATCTGAATACTCACTGGATAATGAATAATATTAAAGATCTATTGTTACATTTTTTAGGTGAGATAACAGTTTTTGTTATGTTTTTTAAGAGTCCTTACTTTTTAGAATTATATCTGAAAATATTTTGTAGATGAAATTATATGATGTTGGGATGAAATATGTTGGGATTTATTTCAAAATAACTTGAGACCCTGCAGATAGAAAAGGGAATGGGGAAAGGAGAGATGAAATTTAAAAGTTTTTCATTGTGTTTTTTTTGTTTTTAAATATATTTTATTGATATTTACAGAGAGGAAGGGAGAGGGATAGAGAGCCAGAAACATCGATGAGAGAGAAACATTGATCAGCTGCCTCCTGCACGCCCCCCACTGGGGATGTGCCCGCAACCAAGGTACATGCCCTTGACCGAAATCGAACCCGGGACCCTTGACTCTATCCACTGAGCCAAACCAGTTTTGGCTAAAAGTTTTTCATTGTTAAAGTGAGTGTTGGGTACAAGGAGATTCCTTATACCCCTTTCTATTTTTCACTAATAAATTTTTTTAATCTTATGATTCATGAATTTCTTAGTTGTCTTTTCAAGCTGATTGTCATGGAATTTAAGCAACAATGATTCGTCAGAAAAGAAACCTAAAGTGCAGTACAGTACATTACCTTTGTAAAAGTGACAGGGATGCTGGCATCCAACTGAATGTGATCTGCAACCTCTGTAAACTGCTGCTGCTGCTTCTGCAATGTTTCCAGTAACCTTGTAATTTCTTGTTTTGCCAAGACAACTCTACAATCATCCTAGTAAAGAGAAGACAGTATTCTTATAAACATGTTAAAAAAGAGATATTATCAAAACTCAAAAAAAAGATCATTTAACATTACAGTATTCAAAGTTAACCTAAGTGTAAATTTGACTAGGTAAAAATAATCAGGCATTAATAAAGAATTTGAGAACCTATCAACAGAAGAATGAATAAATTGTGGTATATAATTCACACATGCAACATTATATACCACTATGAGAATGAACCACAATTACATGTGCTATGAATCTTATAAACATAATGTAGTGTATAAGAAGAAATAACATAAAGAGTTCATACTGTACGATTCCATTACCAAAACAGGCAAAAATAAGAAATGCATTAGAAGTCAATATAGTAGTTTATCCTTAGGGAAAGGGCTAGTAGTTACCAGCAGGAAGTCTGAGGGATTTCTAGGAGCTGGTAATGGTCTGTTACTTGGTCTGAATGCTGGTTATACAGTAATGCCCTGTCCGAAAATTCAGCCAGCTGAACACTTAGGAACACAGTTCTTTATGTATGTTGTACTTCTATAAAACGTTTTTAAAATAATATAAGATATACATGTATTGGTAAAAAAAAAAAAAAAAAAGAAAGAAAGAAAGAAAAAAGAAAGAAAAGAAAAAAAAAAAGGACTTCACATCAGATTGTGAAAAGCCTCACTCTAGATTCCCCAGGCTCTCCTCAAAGTCAAACACTTTCCAGTTTCTCAATTGTTATTCCAGATATTCTATACATGTGCCAATATATTCTTCAAAAGACAAAGATGTCCCAAAAATATGTATGTTCCATGACAGCAGTGGTGTTATCAGTTTTTATTCACTGTTGCATATTCATATTAGTTGATGGAAATTCCATTATTCCAGTGGCTCAGAACAAAAAACTTGAAGTCACTCTTGCCTTCTCCTCCCTAATAACCCACAACAACCTGTCAACAAATCCTACTGGATACCCAGAATCTGGGCATTTCTACCTGCTACTAACCTAGACACTATTCTCTCTCACTTGGAATTCTACAGCAGCCTCCTAAGCATTGAACTCCTTCCTTCTACCTTTGCTCCCCCTTCAATCTATTTTTTACACATTATCCAGAGTGATCCTTTGAACATGTAAGATCAAGTCATTTTTATGCTCAAAACCCCATTTCAATCAGGAAAAACTCAAGTCCTTCCAATGGCCCAAGGCCTTCCTTACATATAATACATATGACCTCTCATTTCAGCTTCTATTATTCCCTCCTTTGCTTACTCCATTCCAGCCACAGTGGCCTCTTTTGCTGTTTCTCAAACACACTAGGCATGCTGCCTCTAACCATTTCCTCAGCTGGAATGCTCTTCTTCCCAATAGGGCTTTACCTAATTCCTTCACCTCCTTCTTCTCTGAGTTCTTGCTCAAGTCTTATCTTCTCTCAATGATGTTTACCCTATTTATTTATTTGTCCTCACCCGAGAACGTCCTCAGAAAGAGGAAGGGAGGGAGGGAGAGAGGAGCATCAATGTGAGAAATAGAGATTGGTTGCCTTCCCTACGTGCCCCAACCAGGGATCAAACCCGTAACCCATGTATGTATGTGCCCTGTGAATCTAACTAGCAGCATTTCAGTGCACAGGACGACACTCAACCAACTGAACCACTCCGACCAGGCTACCCTGACTATTTAATAAGGCAATCTGCTGTACCTCCACACTTTCTCTTTTTTCCTTAGCTCACTTTTTCATATCCTATATAATTTACTTATTTAGATATGTTATGGTTTATTACCCATCTTCTTGCTAGAATGCCAATTCCACAAGATTATGGCTTTTTGCTTGTTTTGTTTACTGATGTATCCTATGTATCTGGAATGTACATGCATATACTAGGCACTCAATACATATTTGCTAAATCAATAGATAAATCCTCACCATTTAGCAAAGTATATCAAATGCAAACTGGGTAACAAATGCCTTTCAATACCTCAACTATCAAAAAACATAGCTTTTCTGCCCTAACCAGTTTGGCTCAGAGGATAGAGCGTCGGCCCAAGGACTGAAGAAGGGTTCCGGGTTCAATTCAGGTCAAGAGCATGTACCTTGGTTGCGGGCTTGATCCCCTATAAGGGGTGTGCAGGAGGCAGCTGATCGATGTTTCTCTCTCATCAATGTTTCTAAGTCTCTATCCCTCTCCCTTCCTCTCTGTAAAAATCAATATTTTTTTTTAAATAGCTTTTCTGTGACATCAAAGTTAAGAACCACTAAATCAGAGCTAGAGAGGTACCCCAAAAAAAGAGCGAGGAAGAGAGACTTCAAAGATTAGCAGACATTTCAGCTAGACTTTGAAGGAGGATTTCCACTAGCAGGAAAGGGAGATATAAACCTGCCAAGCAGAAGGAATAGTACATGGTTGGCAAAGAAGAGTAAACGACTTGGCATGACTGAAGAATGACAGCTAGAAGTTCTAGAACCCACGGTTTTATGGTGGGGAGGGCACATGAAGAAGAGGACACTGATTTGTTGGTGGAGCAACTGGAGGTTATAGAGACCATGTCCTAAGTATAATGTTAATGAATGCAGTAACATATACTAATATAAAAATACTAGAGGCCCGGTGCACAAAAATTTGTGCACTCGGGGAGGAAGGGGGGGTCCCTCAGCCCGGCCTGTGCCCTCTCGCAGTCTGGGACCCCTCGGGAGATAACGACCTGCTGGCTTAGGCCTGCTCCTGGGTGGCAGAGGGCAGGCCCAATCCCTAGGTGCAGCCCCTGGTCAGGCTCAGAGCAGGGCCGATTGCGGAGTTGGGGCGCCGCCCCCTGTCATGCACAGAGCAGGGCGGATCGGGAGGTTGCGATGCCACCCTCAGTCACGCTCAGGGTAGGGCTGATTGGGGGGTTGGGGCACCGCCCCCTGTCACACTCAAGGCAGGGTCAATGGGGAGGTTTCGGCGCCACCGCCTGTGATGCACAGAGCAGGGCCAATAAGGGGGTTGGGACGCTGCCCCATCACTCACAGAGCAGGGCCAATCAGGGGGTTGGGGCGCTGCCCCGTCACTCACAGACAGAGCAGGGCGGATCAGGGGGTTGGGGCACTGCCCTCTATCACCCACAGAGCAGGGCCGATCAGGGGGTTGGGGCGCCGCCACTGTCACACTCAGGGCAGGGCCGATGGGGAGGTTATGGCTCTACCCCGTCACACACAGAGCAGGGCCCGTGGGGGTGGGGGGGGCGGTTGGAGCGCCACCCCGTCACACACAGAGCAGGGCCGATCAGGGGGTTGGGACGCCACACCCTGTCACACACAGAGCCGCAGGGCGATCAGGGGGTTTGGGCGCTGCACCGTCATGCTGATCTGGTGCCAGGAGGCCTAGCGGCTCCACTGATCCCAGTGCTGGGAGGCATATTACCCTTTTACTATATAGGATAGAGGCCTGGGGGCTGGCTGGTTTGCCCTGAAGGGTGTCCTGGATCAGGGTGGGGGTCCCCACTGGGGTGCCTGGCCAGCCTGGATGAGGGGATGATGGCTGTTTGCAGCTGGTCACACACCCTTCAGGGTGGGGGTCCCCACTGGGGTGCCTGGCCAGTCTGGGTGAGGGGCTGAGGGCTTCTTTCAGGCTGACTGAAGCTCCCAACCGCTCCTTTTTTTCTTTTTCTTTTTTTATTCTGGGCCAGCTTTAGCTCTGGCTCTAGCTCTGAGGCTTCCGCTGCTGGTTTGTTTGCTGTTCTATAATCGAAACAATGTATAACTTCAGCTCTGAGATCCCAGCCGGCTATATTTGTTAGAATGTTTCAAACTGCCAGCTCAGAGGCCTCAAGTCAGGCGGGGAACGTTGGAGTCTGCAGTCCCTGGAGCAAGCAAGCCTCATGTTCGCTTCCAGCTGCCTGGCTGCCGGCCGCCATCTTGGCTGACAGTTAATTTGCATAAGGATACGCTGATTAGCCAATGGGAAGGGTAGCGGTCGTACGCCAATTACCATGTTTCTCTTTTATTCGTGTAGAGATTTATTAAAGTAATAAAATAGACTAGTGTGTACCTCTGGTAATTATCTACTTAACATTAAAAATTCTTCTCCTTAAACTATATCCTTCCTATGTTTAAACTACCTACCTGTTGCAAAGTCTTTTCACAATGGAGACAGGCTGTTGAAACCTGGGACAGCAAAATAGTCATATCTTCTTGTTGTTGCCTGAGCCAAATCAATTTTTCTCGAACATGAGCATCGACAACACTTAAAGCCATTTCTTCTTGACGACACAGAGTTTCATGTAGATCAGAAAAATAAGCTCGAACACATGACCGGGCATTCTCCGCAGTACCCGGTACCTAAGAAAATAAAAATAAAGTTTAAGCAACTCTAACTATAACAAAGATTGTATATGTGAAATATGAAAATTTAAATACCATCTATATCCTTAAAAATTCTAAAATTTGTATCTTCACCACAGCCTTTGGATACCCAACTGTTTAAATGACATCTCAAAAGCAAAAGAGTCTCTCTTCTCCAAAATCCAGTTTCCTCCATCTCAATAAATGGCAACTCCGTCCTCCAGATTGTTCAAGACAAAAAAATTGAAACCATCTTTAACATTTTGTTCGTGTCCCACAATTAGTCCCTCAGCAAATTCTCTGGACTCCAGAATATATACAAAATATAATCATGCATCATCACCTCCACCTCTTATCAACCTGACCCAAGCTATTATCATGTCTCACCTGATTATTATAATAGTCTTCTAATTGGTCTTACTATATCTGCCACTGCACACTACAATGTATTCTCCACCCAGCAGCCAGAATGATCTGTTTAAAATGGTAAGTCAAAAGATATTCTTTTGCTCAAAATTCTTCATTCCCCTCAGAGTGAATGCCCACGTCCTCTCTGTATGGGGTGTTCAAGGACAGACTCACTGAGAAAAGGATGCCTGAACAAAAACCTGAAGGAGGTAAGAGAAGAACCACACAAATATCTTGAGGAAGAGCATTCCTGGCAGACAGAAGAGCCAGTGCCTCTAAGGCCTATTCTGCCTCACTCCCCCACCCCAGTCACTCTACTCCAGGTGCACGTAGCCTCCTCAGTTTCATAGCACAACATGCACATTCCAACCTCAGGGCCCTTTCCACTTACTTTCCTCGTCCTGGAATACTCTTCCCCTAAGTATTTTCATAGTTCCCTTTCTCATCTCTTGTAGGTCTTTGCTCAATGTCACCTTCTCAGGGAATGTGTCCCCAAATAGAAATCTAGGTCTCATGCCTGGCCCTCCAAGACAGCTATTCAAGTCAGCTTATACTAATTACTAAGACCTAACTATTCAACTTCAAAATCTCAAATCCATCTACTTCTCTCTATTCTCACTACTTTAGTGAATATTGGTCATAAAGCATCTCTCAACTGGATAATTACAGCAACTGCTAATAGGTTTTCAGCTTCCAATCTTGTTGCTACTCCAATTCATTTTCTACATTGAAGAGCAACTTTTCTTTTTTCCTGTTGTAAATTCTCACCCAAGGATATTTTTTCTATTGACTTTTAGAGAGAAGGGAGGGGAAGAGACAGAGAGAAACTCCGATGTGAGAGAGACACACCGATTGGTTGCCTCCTGGACATGACCCAACCAATGCTGGGGATCAAACCTGCAACTGAGGTACCTGCCCATGACCAGAATCGAACCTGCGACCCTTCAGTCGAAGAGTATCACTGTAAGCCAGCTGGAGAAAGATAAATATCACATGATCTCACTCATATGTGAGATATAATGATCAACATAATTTGATGAACAAGAATAGATCCAGAGACAAATGGTAGGGGAGGGGGGTGGTTAGAGAGCAACCAAAGGACTTGTATACATGCATATTAGCATATCCAAAGGACACAGGCACTGAGGCAGTGGGGGCTTGCCTGGGGTGGGAATGGCTGGGGGGATGTTAATGGGAGGGGAAAAGGAGACATATGTAAAACTTTAGACAATAAATAAATAAATAATAAATTTAAAAAGAAATTATTTCATGATTAGTTCAGTATAATTGCTCAATAAATAATAGAAGGTGAAAGGTAAGAAAGAGAAAGGGTAAAAGGTAAAAAACAAATTTAAAAATCCATACATGTTCTGTGTGGGCCATTCCAATTCCATCTTCCACTATTTGTTCTCCTCCTTCAATGTGCTGAACGATTCCAACTAATTTTCTGGAATAATCTGAGATTTCCTCAGTGAAGGTCCGTATACAGTGAGCCATATCTAAAATTGAGGCTCGGATCTGGTTAGCTTCTGGTTCCAATACTGAATGCTATAAAATGCAACATTATAGAAAAAAGCTCATAGTATTTGACTAATAATATAAAAAATTACTTAAATCCTTCCTATTCATTAAAAAAACCTTCAACCACAAGTGGCTTTTTTAACACATTTTACAAAAGCAAGCATACAAAATGCTAATTTGCCTTCACCCAATAACTATTTATCCTGCAAAGCAATACTTTAAATTTTACAAATCAATTTCTCACTAACCAGGAACCCACAAGTATCTCTAAAATTTTATCACAGCAGTTCATCAATAGACATAAATATTATCAAAACAACCCAGTGCATTATGAAAACATACACTAAAGAAGAGAACTTTTGTTTCCTGCTGGAAAGCTATTTTCATTAAAGAAAGAATCATGATGCCTTTCTACTGAAATTTTTGTTATTCAGAAATTAAATCTTGTTTCTTTTCAGTCTACCAAACAAACGGTGGGCTGGTAGACTAGGTAAATCATCCAGTTTAATTATATTCATACCTTGTGACCTTGGTGTTTTCCATATTCTTTGCAGACACAGCACATGAGTGGGCTAGTCTGGCAGCCTTCTTCCAAGCAAACAAACTCAATGGCATGCACCTGATGCTGAGAGCACATGGTTTTCTCATGAGGTTTGTCAGCGAGAGGCACTCGCCTGTGCTTTGCTAATGTCTTCGTAGAATGAGTAACTTGGGAACACTCTGAGCACAAGTGAGTTGCACATACAGTGCAATATACAGATGCAACGTGAGCTTCATCTTCATCGCAACGAATGATGCTCTGATAAAAACAAATTAATGTCTTAGAGTCTAAGACTTAGACTGAACTCCGATCACTATAGCATGACAAATTTTGAAACATAAAAGCCTATAATCTTTTTTTTAAATAATTAATCAGCCTTTTTATATGAAAATACACTGGTAATTAGTACAAAGGTCATTCACTACTCATCTGAGAAAGTATTCATTTCTATGGGTGAGAAGCTATTCCCAAAATTGGTTATCAATATATGCTAAATTACTTGAGGCCAAAAATAAAACTATTCTCATAAATTCACAGAGTAAAGTTAACTTCCACAAAATCCCTTTGCTTTATAAGAAAGAAACTGAATAGAGGTTAGAATTCTTTTTTTAAGACTAAAACCACTGATATTAAAAACATACCTACTGCTTTAGCCCTAGCTGGTTTGGCTCAGTGGATACACATTGGCCTGCGAACCAAAGGGTCCCGGGTTCGATTCCAGCCAAGGGTAAGTACCTTGGTTGCAGGCTCCTCCCAGACCCAGGGTCTGGTCAGGGCACATGCAGGAGGCAACCAATCCATGTGTTTCTCTCACATCAATGTTTTTCTCTGTCTTTTCCTCTCTCTTCCACTCTCTCTTAAAAAAAAAAAAAAAAAAAAAATCAATGGAGCCCTGGCCGGTTTGGCTCAGTGGATAGAGTGTCAGCCTGCGGACTGAGGCGTCCCAGGTTGATTCCGGCCAAGGGCACATGCCCGAGTTGTGGGCTCGATCCCCAATAAGGGGTGTGCAGGAGGCAGCTGATTAATGATTTTCTCTCATCATTGATGTTTCTATCTCTCTCCCTCTCCCTTCTTCTCTGAAATCAATAAAGAAATATATATATTTTTAAAAATCAATGGAAAAATATCCACGGGTAAGGATTAACAAAAACAAAACAAAACAAAATATACCCACTGCTTTAAATATTATCTGTCATAATGATAAATAGAAAGAAGAGAAGCACAATGCTATTTAGATAGCAATGGGTGTGCATCAGAATTAGCTATAAAGCTTTTAAAACCATGGTGCCAAAAGGGGCTAATGAGGGGGGAAAGGGGACATATGTAATATTTTCAACAATAAAGATTTTTAAAAAATAATAATAAAGATTGCCGAAACCGGTTTGGCTCAGTGGATAGAGCGTCGGCCTGCGGACTGAAAGGTCCCAGGTTCGATTCCGGTCAAGGGCATGTACCTGGGTTGCGGGCACATCCCCAGTGGGAGATGTACAGGAGGCAGCTGATCGATGTTTCTCTCTCATCGATGTTTCTAACTCTCTATCTCTCTCCCTTCCTCTCTGTAAAAAATCAATAAAATATATTTAAAAATAATAATAATAATAATAATAAAGATAAAACCATGTTGCCAAGAATCCAACCTGGGAAATACTTAATTCAATAGGTTAGAGATGAAGCCTGAGTTTGTGTACTTTTCTCTAAAGCTTCACAGGTGAGTCCAATGCACAATTCTAGTTGAAAGCCACTGATTTAAGCAAATAAACAATTAACACCTATGCTGTTAAGTATTAAGCTTTTAGTATATGTGCTGCCGAAGCGAGCACATAAGTATTAAGCTTTTAAGTATTATTTCTAATTTCCATTAATTACTAAAAAGCTTCAAGTTGGAAAATTTTACATGTCAGATCACCAAGAAAGCTTTGCAATTTTTTACTGAATATTAAAAGGCCATAATTAGAAAGGGAGAGATTTGGTATAAAATTTTTCCAGAAATAAAAATTAGAAAATATACCAATGGTGTCACTCAATATCACAAATTAAAAAAAGCACACAAAGTTAGACAGCTTTGTTTGCAATTATGGGAAATATGTACATGTAAAATAAAAATTCATGTCTTCTGTTTTCAAGATCTGACAAGTAATTTACAAGGTCAACATCAGATAATACTCTAATGCAGTGGTTCTCAACCTTGGCTGCACATTAGAATCACCTGGGAATCTTTTTAAAATCCTGATTTCTGGGCCTCATCCTCCGGAAATTCTGTTTCTTTGTTATGGGGTGGGGCCACAACATTAGTACAGTGGGGCCTTGACTTACGAGTGTCCCCACTAACGAGTTTTTTGAGATACCAGCTGTCTCTCTGCCGATTTTTTGCATTAAGTTGACAGAGTAATTTGAGTTAACGAGCTCCTTAACGAGCTCGGTCTCCGAACAAATTAAACTCGTAAGTCAAGGCCCCAGTGTAACAAACAAACAGAATTTCCGGAGGATGAGGCCCAGAAATCAGGATTTCAAAAAGATTCCCAGGTGATTCTAATGTGCAGCCAAGGTTGAGAACCACTGCTCTCTCTTTTGAAATAAAGATAAAATCTAGAATGTGTGAAAGAACTGCAAAAATTTCAGAAAACAATGCTTCAGTTTGAAATTCATTTCAATGATTTACTTTACATAAAGAAATCATGATTTAATAAAAGAGAAGTGAAAATCATTTCGACTTCTTTTACCTTGATGTTAAACATGCTTTTAAAGCTGATCACCAAAATCAATAACTGCTATTTACTACAACCATTCTTATATCCAGAACAGCCTATGAGCTATGCAGGCAATTAATTCCATAAGTGTTAAAAATGTATTTTAATCTGTGTTCATGGACTTCTAATATTTCGGGATATCTACCTGTCTGGAAAAAGAGGATACACCTACACGTAATTTAACCTTCTCATAAAGATATTTAATAGTAGTAATTCCCTCAGGAGCTAGTGCTATCTTTAAGGCATTTTGCTTCTATATTAAATAGCCTCCTTCATAGAGTTTCTTTCTTTCTTTCTTTCTTTCTTTCTTTCTTTCTTTCTTTCTTTCTTTCTTTCTTTCTTTCTTTCTTTCTCTCTCTCTCTCTCTCTCTCTCTCTCTCTCTCTTTCTCTCTCTCTCTCTTTCTCCCTCTCTCCCCTCTCCCCCCCTCCCCCCCTCTCTCTTTGTACTTTACTGTTCACTAGTTCATTTTTGTATCCTCTGCTTTAATGCACATCTTACTCTTCCATAATCTTACTCTTTCACTTTCTGGGATAGAAAGGATTTAGTATAGGGAGATAAGCTTATACACAAGACATAGTTTGGGTATAGTATTATCAAAGAATTCAGGTTTCAGTGTTACTTTTGTTCTGTTGGGATTTTTGTTGCCTTAAGAACTGTAATGTAACAAAAAGTTGTGTTTCTGGGATCCTACCTGCTGGAGTAAGTAAGGTAATATTGTGCTTTTCATGGAAAATATTTTAAATTAAAAGAAAAAATCCATGCTCATAACAAATTTCACCAAGTTCAATCAATACCTACCTCTCCAGATATCCCAATGGCTTCTTCTGCAGCACCATACTGACCAATATGTCCATTCTGTAGTCGTTCCAAAAGTTCCAATAAAGCAAAATTTTTTTTCAATCCCCAAACACCTGAATCTCCTAGAATAAATATAAAAATAAAAACTAAATCTAACAGAATGCAATCATGATCACTTTATCTCATACCTCAACTGTAATTTCTAAGTCATACAGTTAAGCCATTAATAACGTCTAAATTTTAAAAATGCAAATTTCCCCCATTTCCGATTTATGATAGAACAACTGTCTTGATATTCTTTAAAAAACAGAATTCCTCAGCATTCTAAATAGAAACATACTTTCAAGTTTTATTACTTTTCTATCATTTAACTTTATAAATCCTATTCTGTCACTGACTTTTACTATATATTCTAAAATAAGTGCTTTGAATTATTTTTATAGCAACCTAAGGTAAGAAATACAGTTTACATTGCAACCCAGGATCATATGTCATATATATAACTGAAACAAAAGTTTCACACACCAGTATTCACTCTTTCAGTGTGCAACACACTGTTTTAGGTTTATTTCTTTTTAAAACAATTTCGTCACAACTAATTAAATTGATTTCATGACCACAAATAAGCTATGACTCATGTTTGAAAATCCCTGTACAAAAAATACACAACCTAAAATAGCTCTATCTCTAAGTAAACTGGAACTAGAACAGCTAAAGATAATATTTCCCCCACCCTTCATCTAACCTAGAACCCTATAGAAGTCAATGACTATATAAACTCCTTTTCACGCAGATACATCAAAATAATACAACAATCCCTTTTAGGTAGATAAGACTCTAGGAATATCTGGATAAGAAACAATGCTTCTTTTCCCCAGAACTGACCATAAAAGGCCAGATGCATATGCATATATGCATGCATGCAAACGCACTCATTCTGATTCTCTCTCTTCCTAAACCTACAAATAAAAGCCAGATTCTTCAGCAGTTAGAAGGAATATGTCTGTTATGTTTGTTATGGTGAGTTTCTATGCAACAAATACCACCTGACACATTGCTGTCACCTAATCCATATTCACTGAATGAATGCATAAATGAAAGGATGATGGGGTTACTGGCTGCAGGGCTCCCCTTCCTCTTGGCCAAGCTTTTCTTTAAAAAGGAAAAGAAAATGGAAAAGGGGAAGTAAAGGAAAGAACATTTCTTGTTGTGGTCCTCCAAAAAAATTTCAAATTAGGCAAAAAAGCCTCTTCTGACTTTTGTGACCTCCTTTCCCCAGTACCTTTATGCAGCCAATCCAGCATTTCTCCCTCAACCCGCTAACCAACAACGCTTTCTCCTTAATTGTTTACATTTTTCACTCTTATTCTACTACAAGCTCAGTTGTATCTAGTCTATTTATATAAGCATTAAGAAGTATACTAAGCAAGTCCTTTAATTAAAAATATTATCCTGACAATTTTCTAAATATTGTCATCTATATAATAAAAGCCCAGTGACCAGAACGACCAGAATGACCGGTGGCTATGGTGCATACTGCAGCAGCCAACCAGCCTGATCCGGGCCCCAGTCCGCCCCCCTCCCTGGCCGGCCGGGCCCCCAATCGGCCCCCAACACCCTGATAGGGGGTGGGACCAGCCAGCCAACTGCCTGTGCCCCCTCCCCCCCCCGCTGGCCCAGCTCGATGAGCCCCCTCGGGACAGGCTGGCTGGACCCCACCCATGCATGAATTCCTGCACCAGGCCTCTAGTTAAATAAACTCCTAGCAGTATCAACCTACTGTCTAGTAGTATATCACTAATATTTCTGTAACTGTCAAAATAACTCTAAAATCACAATGGTTTAAACCAACAAAGATTTACTTTTTGTTCATGCAAGATATCAGGGGATGGGGAAAACAAGAAAGATTTTCCCCTACTGTCCATGATCAGGGACATAGGCCACTGAGCCTCTAACCACCTGGACCACCTCACCGTATCAGGAAGAAGGATTTACTGCAAGCCATCATAAATCTCTTCTTAACAGCTTCTATCTGGAAGTTGACACTTCATCCTATTCATATTTCACTAGTTAAAAGGGAATCACACAGCCATACCTAACTCTGAGTAGGGAAGTATAATTTTACCACAGGGACAGCAGAGAAGAACCAGAAATATTACGGAAATGTACTGATAACTACCACAATTAACTACTAATATTCTTCTTGGACTAGAGAATAAATCTGATTCTGATTCTCTCACATTAAGTCATTTTCTTCTCTAGAAAAGGGAATCACAAATTATTTTTTCTTTGTTATACTTTAACAATTTTCAAATTATCTGCAATGTACATATACATTATTTTTCTAGTATAACTAAAAATAGATTTTTAAAAACAATGGCATCAAACTATAGCAAGGGTGACTAACACATATTTCACAGACTAAAATCACAGTAAAAATCTAATCTATAAGCTATAGTAATTACAATCTACATCCAAGGCAAAGTTATTGGTTTGTTGGTTTTTCTAATGCCATATGATAGCAATGATGTTTAACTTCAACCTAGAACATGACTAAACCATTGTCTGTCACAAATTTCTGATTTAGTTAAGCATTGAGGGTGGTAACAACACACACTGTGGTATTTATGTAGAAAAGGTATAGTGCCCTTCAAAAGGGAGAAGGGTCCACCCTCCATTTATGAAACGCTTTTTCTAAAATACACACTTCTATAGTTCTCTATAAAGATGATATATATATATATATATATATATTATAGAATAAAAAGCCAAACCAAAGAATGTTGAAATACAGATATTTTTCTTTTCCCCCTAATTATTTCTTGGCTAATAATGCATTAATGTCATCTATAGTAATTAATGTCATCTATAGTAATGATAACACTGTCCTATATTAGTTTTCTGGCAAGTGGACATACTACATATTTATTTAAATCAGAGATTACCAAAACCTTAAGAAACCTATCCTTTCCTTACAAGAAAACATTTAAAATCATGTTTTTCAGCTTTTTAAAGTTTTCCAGTCTAAAAATTTTTCTTTTTTTCGTAAATTATTTTGAACGTGTTCCATTTGACATCAGCCTTAAAACAAATATTGCTACTGACCTAAAGAAAAATGACAACTTTAAACTATTTCTTTTAAAGAAAATTCTGTTATCAAAAAGAATAGATTTATAGAACTTGGGTTTGTAAAATAACTTAAAATGTTAATGTTATCATTTCTAAATCTATTAGTTACTGTTAATAACTAATTTTGAAATATAAAGCAAAGTTTTAAAAGATTTAGGAAACTAAAAAAAAAAATCAACAAAACCTTTACACTTATTTAAACAGAAAACAAGTAATTATCACAAGCCACAAACACTTCTGTTTTGATACCAGTAAATAAAAACATGCTGACACTCAAATTACTTAACTTGTATTTTCATTATTGGCCTATGTATTATAGAAAGATTGTTTTATTGTATCAATGGCTTCAGGCAAAAGAATTTTCTTATTTCTTTGAATAGATTATGTTCTCGGGTATCTTAAAAAGCTCTTCATCTACACTAATAAAAGAGGAAAATGGTAATTGGTGTACGACCGCTACCCTTCCCATTGGCTAATCAGCATATCCTTATGCAAATTAACTGTCAGCCAAGATGGCGGCCGGCAGCCAGGCAGCTGGAAGCGAACGTGAGGCTTGCTTGCTCCAGTGACTGCAGACTCCAACGTTCCCCGCCTGCGCTGCCGGCCTCTGAGCTGGCAGTTTGAAACATTCTAACAAATATAGCCGGCTGGGATCTCAGAGCTGAAGTTATACATTGTTTCGATTATAGAACGGCAAACAAACCAGCAGCGGGAGCCTCAGAGCTAGAGCCAGAGCTAAAGCTGGCCCAGAAGAAAAAAAAAAAAAAGAAAAAAAGGAGCGGTTGGGAGCTTCAGTCAGCCTGAAAGAAGCCCTCAGCCCCTCACCCAGACTGGCCAGGCACCCCAGTGGGGACCCCCACCCTGAAGGGTGTGTGACCAGCTGCAAACAGCCATCATCCCCTCATCCAGGCTGGCCAGGCACCCCAGTGGGGACCCCCACCCTGATCCAGGACACCCTTCAGGGCAAACCAGCCAGCCCCCAGGCCTCTATCCTATATAGTAAAAGGGTAATATGCCTCCCAGCACCGGGATCAGCGGAGCCATGAGGCCTCCTGGCACCAGATCAGCATGACAGGGTGCAGCGCCAAACCCCCTGATCGCCCTGCAGCTCTGTGTGTGACAGGGTGTGGCATCCCAACCCCCTGATCGGCCCTGCTCTGTGTGTGACAGGGGGTGGCGCGCCAACCCCCCCCCCCCCCACCGGTCATGCTCTGTGTTTGAGGGGGTTTAGATCTAACTTTCCCATCTGCCTTGCCTTTAGAATCAAAATGGATGGCGCCCCAACCCCACTGATCCGCGCCTGCTCCTGTGGGTGAAAGAGGGCGGCCGCCCCAACCCCCTGATTCGCCCTGCTCTGTGTGTGGATGGGTGTGCCCTAACTCCCCTATCGGCCCTACTCTGTGCGTTACTGAGGGAGCTCCCCAACCACCTGATGGAGCCTAGTCTATTGATGATAGGGGGGAGCCTCCCAATACCCTGATAGGCACTGCTCTGTGAGTGATGGGTGCAGGGACAGTAGCCCAACCCCCTTTATTCGCTTAGCTCTGTGAAATAATGGGGGACACGACACATACGCCTTATATGGACCTAAGTTAA